GCAGATAGCCCTCGTGTAGCTTTGCGTGAAATTCAAAAACAAACAAACAAACCATCTTCATTAAACTTCCATTATAAAATCAAATAAATATAACTGTGTATTTTAAAATTGTAAGAGGAAAAACAACTAACGCTTAAATGTAGGAGATGTCCCGCATTAACTAGCGAAACACTTAAGAAAACAGAGCTATGGTAAACAAACGCAGAACGGAAAACAAATTCGATACATATGCCTGAATTTTACCTGTTGTTGTAGGTATGACTTTGAAACGAACCATTTCCTGTGTACCGTTAGGGATTCCTACATCACGTACAAACTGTTCTCACAAACACGCATGCAGCTGACCAATGGTTCTTTCTCTGACCATGTCATTGTCCTGACCACCCTAGTGTGGGAAAGCCATGCTGCGTCCAAAGGTCAGGATATTTTGTCGGTCGTGGAATACTACACTAACATAACAAACAGGGTTCTCTGCCCTAAGCTGAAACTCCTGCTTAGTTGTAACAAAATTTAGACTAAAGTAAATAGTCTTCTTGATAGGGCTAACCAGTTAGCCACTAAGATCGCTATCTATCTATCACTAAGCCTAGAAGACGACAACCTTCATTGTTTTAGCTAGTAACAGTAAACAAAAATTTAATCCTTCAAACTCTAAGCTATCGATTCTTTAGATTAAAACTCTTAAAAAAATTATAGTGCCCATTTATTTTTAGTTAGAAAAACTATGCCCTGAAATTTTACATCTATTTTAATTTTTATGGAGAATATTCCACATTTTCATCTTCCCGATTTGCTCATTCTGATAACATGTAGTGTTTCCTATAACGATAAGAAAAAAAATCTCATTAACTGATTTTTTTTCTCTCTTCACGGCATATTAATTTGAACTTTCAAATTCATCTTTCGATACACGTGTTTAAATGTCTATTTTGCTACTTTTGTTCATCATTTCAGTCCCAAGCACGTTTTTAAATATTTATTCTCCAGACAAAGAAGAGAAAAAATATCTTTTAGATTTTGCGAGCCATTTTTGCAATATGTAATGCCAATTGAGCTATAAACATTTTAGCGGAATAAAAAAATATATAAACCTAAATCGATCCTGCGTACTATGCAAAGTGCAAACAATCAATTAGATGAATAATTCTAAGGAAATAGAATTAAAAACTTATTTATTATAACTGATAAAATTTACATGTCGACCTACTTTTTTTTATTTTTTTTATTTTATCCGAGTAGATAATTCATGAAAAAGTTAAGTTACTTGATTCCTAGACTAGAATAGTCACAGTAGCCAATAGAAACAATAAAAAATGCCGTTTTTTATGTATTAAATCTATTATCTCAAAAGGCTTAATAAAAGAATCTATCGTCAGAGTCTAGTATATATTATCAATACATTGTCTTTTTTAATGGTTCTTGCGCCACATCTGCTAAGCAAACAAAGACAATTTATTGTTAGAAATGCTTT